GGGGGGAGGGCAACAATCAATTTATTTATGTTTCAAAAAATAACAGTAATTAATCATAGACCAGAGGTGAAAGGCACATTGGTGGCTGGCAACCAAGAATTACCCGCAATGAAGTTCCCAACAGTAAATTTGGAAGCCTCGGAGGTACTTGTAATGACATGGTAACCTGCCCATTTAACCCTGTTTGAAGTGGATGAACCAGGGCCTGTGTTCATGTACTCACCATAATACAAAGTCTTCAAGGCAAAGTTACCACTCCATTCCATCCAACCAGCTGGGTCAATTAAGCTATCAAGGTATGTCTTCATGAACACGGTACGAGAATACTCCCTCCATGGCCTCCCTAGGTATGTCTTAACCGAACTTTGAACTGATTTTAAATCCGAAGCAGCTGTAACCCTACAATTGTGAATAGAAATTCCTGTATTTTGGTTCGGATCGGACCGGCCCTGAGCAGTGACAGTGTTGGTTTTGTGGTTGTGAACATAAATGTTACAATTTTGGAAAACCACAGCAGCATTGCCAAAAATAAAGTCAACAGTTCCATAGATGTCACATTCCCTATAGAATTGTCTGTCAGAGTACACATAGAGGGTGTCTTGGTTCCCCTCAAAGCCACATTTGTAAAAAACAGAGAGATCTGAACCGGACCGGAGTGCCACGGCTTGGCCGCTTGTTGGACCGGCAGTGTTTTGGAATGTAATGTCCTGGGCAATGAACCCATCTCCAACCACAGCTAAAATGAATCAAAACAAAGAAAAGAATGTCATGAATTTTAATTTAGAGTTACTTGTAAGACAAGTTGACAATTAAAAACATTAAAATTACATGAAATTTGAGGCATTGCTGACTTTGCAAATATTCTTTGACCAATATTATGAAAACAAAGGAAAACAAAATATATTTTCAAGCACAATTTGTTTGTTCAAATCAATAGACACCAGACTATGGACAATTAAGTGATATTGTGGGCAACTTGAGGTTCACAAGTCTTAGTTAAGACCAAAATAATTGTCAGCATTATGACTTAACCCCTATATCAATTTATATTTTCAACAATTTTCATAAAATTAGTGTTTATATGAATAACATTTTCCACAGAATAAAGTAATCTAGCCGCACATGAGATGGCACCATTGTGGAAGGCACCATTGTGGAAAAGTGGGTCAAACTCTCCCTCTCCTTCCAAAGTATATCCGAGTACGTGGAAGACAGTTTTGAAACAACCCAATATAATACTCTCTCATCCCCCTCCCTATCCAATGACAAAAATAAAAAGTAATCTAGCTACTTTCTCAAAGTGGACCAACTCTCTAAGAATCCAACTAGCTATATTGACGGACTGCCTTTTTGGACCTTCAATCCTAGTTTGTTAAATACTAAGTAAAGACAGTTCGGTCCCAAAATGATTAATGAACACGTTTAAATTAGTCGACTTTGTCTTGTCATTATCTAATGGCATGG